TGATTTCTTGGCTAAAATTAACGTGTTGAAAAAAATATGCTGTAAGTCAATTTCTTTGTTTTTTGTTGTTTTTTTACTTTTATTAAATACAATTTAAGCTGAGAAGAACTAATGTTCAGGGGCAGGTTAAAATACTTAGGCACAAACAAAGACCAACTTTTTTGTTTTTTGTTTGGTTTTCAACGCCAAATTTAAGACATTTTTAGTCATACATGTACCTGGGCTGTCGGTCTAACTAACCAGCTTTCCTGGATAAATAACCAGTAATAACCAATTTCTCTGCAAGTGACTGACTATACATATCCCAAATGCCCGGCTACAGATTGTCCATGGACAGCCTTAAAATGACCATGGATATCCATGGATATCCATGGAAAGAGCATGGAAATACATGGATAAGTCAAGTGAATGGACAGTGTCCATACTAACAACATGGATAACATGGACGATGTCCATGAATAACATGGACAGCGTCCAGGGAATATAAAAATGTTCATGGACATAGTACAAAAAAACTATGTCTAATGTGGACATTGTCCATGGTCAACTTCATTGCTCATACTTAGACATTTTTATCAAAAGTGATTGGATGGATACCCGGGTGTAGATTTTCCGAGGTTTATGAAAAAAACCATGGAAACTGCTTCAAAAACCTTGGAAATAAACCAGTTTTACAAGGTTTTTTCTTAATTCCGAGGTTTTCTTTAAAACCTTGGAAACTTTATCCAAGGTTTTTGTATAAAAATCCTTGGAAATAAAGAAAACCTTGGAAACTATCTTGGAATTAAACACTCTGCCAAAAATCAGCTCGGAAAAAGCTTGGAAATAAGAACTTTGTCATTTTTTTGCTCGGAAAAGAACTTAGAAAATTTACGTAAAATTTGTTGGAAACACTTAGCCAATATTTAGCTTGGAAATGACCTCGGATAATTGAACTTAACTAAATTTCATCTCGGAAAATGTTAAGACATAATCATGATTTAACTTATAATGGGCATCAAAAGCAATAATCAACAGTTAAAGCAAACTAAGATAACAACCCAACTGTAGATTGCCAATGGATATTTCTTAATCCATGGTCAGAGCAAACAATTGTCCAACAGCATGGAAAGGAGAGATTTGGTCCAGGGAATCAATTTTTAGTATGGACATTGTCAATGGCCAACTTCCTTTTCAATAAATTTGTACTTTAATCTTCTGAAGCCATCTTTGTGGGAGGAATCAATTAAAAAAATTTAAGTGTGAAAACATGGAAAAGTTAAATACAATGTAAATTCCTTGTTGCCATAAAATACCTTTTATTAATGGCTATAAAGGTATTGTAACTAATCATAATAAGATAAAGATTATTCAAATAACTGATGATCAGAAAGACTTGAAAATTTTACTTTTTTTTATTTTCATATTTTTTTTTATATTATTTATAATTATTGTTACTAGATATCTTCTCCATTTTTAAGAATGGATAAAAGAGCAAAACTTATAATTATACAAAAAGAAACAATCAGTGTTTACGTCTATTACTTTCTAAATGCATCAGTATTTTTCCTGCAGTTTCTTTCTATATATAGACTTAACTTAAAGGGTTTCTTGACAGCCTGTAAGCAACACTGAAATAAGAATGCTATTAATCTTTAATATATGTTCTTATGCCATATAAAATAGTATATTCTACTAAGCAAGTCTGTGACATACATTCAGATTAACAATTTACTCTGCCATTAATTATGTGTACAATAAACATAAATAGTTATTAATTGTCCTTTTAATTATATAATTATGTACAATTAATGTGTAAAATATGTATGCTTGATACTTTCTTATAATTAAGATAAATAAATACTGCATCCACTAAGTTTTCACACACAGAATATAACACACTGATCAGATAAAACTAATGGCACCCCAGGTGGTTCCCTCTTATAATCTATGCATGATCAATCTTCTCATTGAGCATTCTGGATAGACCAGATTGTTCCATGTGATTATTCAGGGGGAGTCCTGGGTTTTTATACAATCCAAAACAGTCTAAAATGACACTGGCAACTGTGATTCTCTTATAATTTTCAAGTTTTACTTTTATTTATCATTTGATATATTTGTACCTTCAATAAAATTAATGTAAAAATAAAATGATGATGGCTTTGATATTTTGGGATCACCCCTGTTTCACATTATTATTGCCCCTTCAGTTATACTGTTGAAAAATTTGAATCTCAGACATAAATGGGTCAAGTGGTTATAGTTGGAAGTAGTGCAAACCTGGATTTATTTTAAGCAATTTTGGGACATATCTTGTTTTAAATGTTAGGGAGCATATTTTGGAATTTTCAAAGAAAACATTTATCTAAGTGTGACAAGATTCAGGAAATGTTTGGTTGTTGTAATTGAACCTAAAGATCAATGACCTGGGACAGGAAGATAAACAAAAGAAACATGATAGTAAAAAGGTTCAGGTAAATAATTTTAGATACATTTATGCATAAAATCTGTTGTTGTTTTTTTTTTTCAAATAAGTATTAAATACAAACTATTTTAGATCTATATTTTTAACCTAAATGTAAGCTAGTTTAAATACAATTGAGGATATTTTAAGAGTATTTAAATGTTATTTTTGTCTATGATTGTATTGAACAAGATGAGTGCATGAAACTATGATGACATTATTTATAAACTTTCATCTGTCATCTATTATTTGAATCTACAAATTTTTAATTACAGAGTCAGCTTGTAAGCAAGTTTGCAAGACTGTTCCAAACTACAAGAAGATGGCAATCCAGCTTTGCTGTGTTTTATCATAGTATATCATTGGCATGCCAGGCATCGATTAAGCCAACTGTAGACCAGGAAAGCTTCAAGGAATATACTACAGTATGTTTTTGTTTTAAAACTAGGTTTTGAAAGTTTCAATTTGAAATTTGAATGAAGGTTTCTGGAACTGATTTTTTTATTGATACTTTGTTGGAAATGCTGTTAATGTTACATGATGACTCTCCAGCTTTATTGATGCAGATGTCACTTTGAGCAGACAGATACAATTAGTGTAGGCAATCGGAATCACCTTATGAAAAGCATTATTTTTTGCAATATTTTTAGAGTGCTTTAGGTTGTAACATCCAGTATGACATAATCTAAAATAATAGTAACAGACATCGTTTCTTTTCTAAACATCGCAGAATTGTCATACTGCTTACCAAAGTTTTCTTGAAATCCTGACACTAAATACTGATGAAGAAAAATAAGAAATCAACATGAAAAAAATTAAATTCACTCAGTAGACCAATATTTAAAAGTAACTACAGAAAAGGTCATTTGAAAATATTAAAGCCTTCATTTTAATCAATGGTCTTGGAACACAATCTTGTAATTCAAGTAATTTTGGATCACTCAAAAGATGTATTTCTAATTCACAAAAGTGCTGATTTTTTTAAAAACAATATATATCAACAGTGAACTGATATTTTTTCTATGGAAACGTTTAAGGAATGTATCATTTTTTTTTATTGATTAATAAAAAAGAAATTAAATGATGTAATTCTGATTGCCTACACATACTGAACTGTCCATGAGTATAACCACAGGGTGTTCCTTAATCCTGGGCTGGATAGCTCCCTCAGAGGGAAGAAGCCCATCCTGGCTTCAGGAGTCAAAAATACAATGTTGTAAGGCAAGTAGTTTGAAGTCTTTGATCCGACCACATGGAGAGGGAAGCGCCCAATGAGAGGGAAGTCGCCCAGTGGTGATTTTATATAATTGTTTTTCTAACTTCTTTCAATGGCTTGTACTTTATTAAATGTTTACTTTAGTTATTTCAGGAATTGTATCTGGAGCATTTTCCACATGTGACCCCTGTGATGGTGAGGGAAAAACTAAGGGACATTTAAAAATCATGAAGAGTGTTAAAGCAGGAATTCAAAAGATAAGATATTTGAATACATTAAAATTTAACCGGATACCAAAATATTATAACTGAACATTGAGTGTAATATTTACCATTAAAGACTTCTAACTTAAACATTTTCATTTGTAGTGCATTACTATTTACTTCACACTGACATATAAATGTTTCAGTGAGTCATGTGATCCATTTTTTGCTCTGTATTATTACAAAAGAAGTTTCTTAATTCCTTAAAAAGGACAATATAATGCTCTTTTCAGAATATTTCATTGGATGTTATATTTTCCTGATTTTCCATGGATATTCTAGAAATTTCCAAGGTTTTTTGCTCAAATAAACCTTGGAAAAATTCTCTGATGCCCTTAAGTTAAGAATCCTCGAAAATATAACAGTATTCCCAGTTGTGAGAAACTTTCCGAGGTTTTCATTTAAAAACCTTGGAAAACAAACACCACGGAAAACACTTTAAAAATCCTTGGAAAATCGTTCCAATACTCCGAGGTCACTCATTTTCCAAGGTTTTCTAAACAAAATCCTCGGAAATTATTTTACGAGTTTTTTTTTTTCTGAAATCCTTGGAAATCGTTCCAATACTCCGAGGTCATACTTTTTACGAGTTTTTTTTTAAAAAAAACTCGGAAATTTTTTACAAGGTTTTTCACCCTCTCCCTATTTTTCCAAGGTTTTTTTAATAGCAAAGTTTTGCATTTTCTTGTTCCAATACTCCGAGGTTTTTTTCCAAGGATTTTGAGCCAAAAACCTTGGAAAATCTACACCCGGGTATGCAAAAAAAATCTAAGTGCCAAAACATGAAAAATGTTTAAAAAAATCAGAACTGCCATTCTTCAAAAATTTATATGTTCATATTGGGTATCAAATTATTCAGCATGAAAAGAAGAACTCAAATATAGTAAGATCAAGTAGATTTTTTTTTATTTTATTTTTTTTTTAAATTCCAAACTTCAGTTAAATGATAATATAGAAAAATATACTGTACCCTTATGCATACCATTTCAATTATATTAAAAAGATAATCTAGTCTCACTACTTGTAGACTTGTTTAGGTTGTGTTTGTTTTCTGTTTTTGTGGTTCATTATCATATATTACCCTAATAAAGTTAGAAAAATAAATGCACAATTTAATAGAAACAATTTAAATTTAAGAACAAATGTAATTGTTATGCACTTATATTTATTTATTAATTGATGATGAATTAATTATTATTATGTACATGTATCTCTATTGAAGTATATATAATTTATATATTCATCCTGTGTAGATGTAACTTATGTATTATATAGTGATTAATTTCTGGAACATTCAAATTAGCATCAGCCACAACGTAAATATTTATGACCCCTCAAGTGGAACCTGCTGTTTTCATAACTACCAAAGTTAAACTCACCTATCTGATATAAGAGAATAGAAAGAGGTAAAGCAGGTTTACAACAAACTATATTACACTGTAGCTCCCAAGTAACTTAATACCCTTGCAGAACAAATCACAGGTCAGAACACTCCTTCCAGGCGGGTCATTTGAACAGAAGCATTGGAAGAAAATGTTTATTAGTGCCTATTCTGCTTAAAAGTTATAACTTGAAATATTATGTTGGAGCATTGGAAATTAGACCAAATGAGTTTAAACTGGACAAATTTACAAGAGTTTTCTGGAAATATGAACTTTTAAACATGTGTATTTCATGATTCAGTTAAAATGGAGGGAACTACATGTATATAACCATTTCTAACAGTAAGTACAAATGTATTTTTATTTTTTAACACTTATTATTTTAGTTTTTTCAAACTTTCTTTGCAAGTATACACTGTTTCAGTTATTGTATTTCTACATACATGTAACTTTTCAATATAAAAGTAGTTAAGGAAATCTTTTTCATTTTAAAATAATGGCGGGAAATTTTAAATCAGAGATTACAATTTTACATTCAAAATATTGGTGATTGATCAAGCAATGAATTTCGAAATTCACATTTAATAAAATTCATAATATGCCTTAATTGTAATTTCTTGTTACTCATGTACATACGTTTATTTTTTCAACATATTAGGTTGCAAACTTTCAAGTCTTGGAGTCACATGAGATGTTTCAACTCAAAGGATGTCAGATGAGGGAAAAGTGATAAATGTACTGTTGAATACAGAATGCTTACAAAACCATCCTGGTAATAATTTAGTTTGTTTTGTTGAAAAAAGTCGAAGTAACAATTGTTTTCATATAAATGCATGTTATTTTCCAAAGTCTGAACAAAATGTTGTTCTTCATGTTTTATAAATATATTATTGTTATACTGACTCCACTGAACAAATCTCAAACTTTCAGTGGTAATTAAGTACTTGTGAAGGATTGAGTAATTTAAACTGCCATAACATAAAAGTTGTCATTATATAAATATAGGAAAAGCAGGGAAATAATTGACACAAGTTTATCATAATGTTGATTTTGACCAAAAAATGAATCATTTTCATCAAAGCATGGTGTTTACTTGATAACTCTGTGCTGATATTCTGCAAAAATCATTTAATTGAAAGTTTTCCATCTTAACTGTTTTTACCCTTTCATGTTTTTTATCAATCATGTTTAAACAATACTAATTATGTTGTAAAGGGAAACCTCGTTAATCGTTAATACAAATGGTGTTATGTTATCAATTAAGCTCAAAAATGCTACAAATGATGTCAGTACTAAAATTGATAACAAAGAATCCAAAAGAAATGAAAATGCCAATATTACATTTCAGGACCAACTGCAGAGCAAGGTTATTGGCATAACCAGCTACAGTAAGAAGGCCGTTGTTCTATTCCGCTTTTTGTATAAAGAGGAGGAATATGCCGGAATATCATTGACAGGGAAAGCATCCAAAAGTGGCGAAAAAAGGCCACCTGTTTGACCAAGAAAAGTTGACAGGAATTTACGGTCAGTGTTTCTTTTTTTTTTTTTTTTTTTTTTATTTAAATTTCATTGAAAGTTTTTGAATTTCATTGGAAGTTTTTAACAGGGATTGAAATTTTTTTTTCATAGCCAATCGTCTTGCAGGACTTGTAAGTGTCTTCAAAATTGCTACTCGTCCATGTAGATAATTTGAATTGTTAATTATTCAAGGGTTAAGTATAATACATTGATTTGTCAAGTCAATATTTATATATAATTTGTTATGTTCTTTACAGATATCATCAAAAGGAATTTTCCGCATGTCACACCAGTGATTGTCAGGGAAAAGCTGCGTGACATTGTCAAGCCATCTTGTGCCAACAAAACAGTGAAACAATAAATATGTGTACAAAATAAACTGTGGGCCGTTTTTTTAGCCATTCAGAACAATATAAAACTGAGAACATTTGAGAACTTGTTTTACTTCATATATGGTGTAAATAAATCTTTAATGTGTCATAATTTTACAGCCTTGTCAATTCAAAATCATTGTTTCACTAGTGCAACTCCCAAGTGAAAAAGATTGTGTGGGACCTTTTTTACAGACTTTTAAAACAGGTATCTCAACACAAGTGTGATATCATGGACATTGACCATGGATGTCATAAAAGATTCCTCAAAATTGGTTTTGAACATGGATAGAATGGACATTGTCCATAGAAAGAATGGACATTGTCCATGGAAAGAATGGACATTGTCCATGGTAAGAATGGACATTGTCCATGGTAAGAATGGACATTGTCCATGGACATCATGGACATTGTCCATGGGTATCATGGACAATGGACATGGAAAGCATGTGGTGGACATGGATAGCATGGACACTGTCCAGGGATATAAGAATTGTCCATGACAATCGGTTTCAAATACTTCCCCTATGGACAGTTCCATGCTTACTATCATGTAAATCCATGACATTCTGTGCCAGGTTAGGTATCAGCCATTAGAGACAAATACCGACTAGACTCAAATGGATGACTGATTTATTGTCATGACATAACTATTACCTTCCTTTGAGTATTCGAATGCAGCAGACGCGCTTTTTGATTACAAATTCTAATGCAATCTCATGAACGTTTTTAAGCATGGGCAGACAGAGAATTTCTAGAAAACACTGTTTTGGCTTGCAATTCAATTCACTTAAAGCCAAAATAATCGCATGTACTTTCATTAAGACCTGTTTTTAAAATATTGTGCAGTGAAAACGAACTTGTTAGTGAAATATTACAAAATTGTTTTTCTAAGGTTTCAATGTTTGTTGACCGACACATTTTCGATTTGCTTTAAATTATTATATAGCTTATGCCAATGGTTTCTGGACATGGAGGCATGGTTTGCTGAACATTGTTAACCAATGGTTAATTTTTCGAGTCCATTGCGAAAAAGACAACGCATAATAAAAGATGAGTTTGAAACATTTTAAAAACTTACCCGGAGACTATCCTGACGAGCGGAACACATAACATCGGACAAGTACTGCGCATCGTGCATTGGTCTACTTAAGACACCATAAAGACCAATCTGTTAGTGTGAATACGCGGCTCCTTCTACATTTTATTAGATGTTTTTCCCTACATTCGGAAATGATTTCATATTAATCCACAAGATGCGAATAACAAATTTTCCGCAATTTAAGCTAACTTCATCTGCCGCAACTGGAGGAGGGAGCCCTATAATTTTCTTGAGAATATGAATTTTAGAAAGGTAATTCAATTGCATTTTAATCTCTTTATAATTGAATATTGATTTAATGGTTATCCTGTGATAAGAAGAAGATGATGAGTTCTACATTGATAACACAAAACTGATAGCGTAAGCTGATATTGATGATCACCGCATGATCGATTAACTTGGGAGGAAAACGTTATTTGATATCTGAAAAGATACGACATACAGGTTTTCACATCTATATTCAGATTGCGAGCCACTTTTCATCGGTTAAAAATCGCGCGTGTCTAGAATTGGACTTTTCAATTATTCACACACATATCTGGCTATCATTCAATTGTTATCTTAAATGCATTAGCAATTGGCTTGATTTTCTTGTTTACAGCTCGTATCATTAGAATAACACTTTTCTTACCCTTGGCCCAAATCGGCTGTTTCGTCTTGAAATCTTAGTTGTCTAAGAATAAAAATTGAAAAAACCAGTGCCTAAACAACCATATCTAATTTACATGTATATCACATAATCATTTAAAGAAATGTTGAATTGAATGCAAATTATTTGTTTTCAATTAGATTGCTTTTATTTACACATGTAAAGTGTAGAAAGCCTTATTAGGCTTCTACTGTCTGTTATGCTGTAGGCAGAATATTTGATGCAATTTGTTTCAAAGAGAACTGTAACCTACCATATATTAAAGTATAATGTTTGTAAATCTAAAAAAGCATATCCTTAAAATCAGAACTAAACCTTTTGAATATTTTGTTTGGGAACATGTGCTTCTGTTTTCATTAGATTATAATTGACATGTGCTATATAATTTTGCAAATATGAACATAAGGATAAGCAAACAAAGTATTTTTTGAAGTATGTTTTGCAAGTATTATAGATGAACACCAATTAAAAAGATTTTGTAATAAACAATAAATCTAATTCAGTTTAAAGCAATGACTGTATTTCATAATTGTTTGCTTTGTTATTATGACATTCGTCTACCAGGTACATTTTGCTGTCATCTACTTCAGTTTTATGAAATATTGGTTGTCATTTACTTCAGTTTTATGAAATCTCTGCTGTCATTTACTTGAATTTCATGATTTGTTTAAAACGCTATGAATGTCTTCAAATTTATGAGGTCTTTGCTGTCATCTACTTCAGTTTTATGAAATATTGGTTGTCATTTACTTCAGTTTTATGAAATCTCTGCTGTCATTTACTTGAATTTCATGATTTGTTTAAAACGCTATGATTTTCTTCAAATTTATGAGGTCTTTGCTGTCATCTACTTCAGTTTTATGAAATATTGGTTGTCATTTACTTCAGTTTTATGAAATCTCTGCTGTCATTTACTTGAATTTCATGATTTGTTTAAAACGCTATGATTTTCTTCAAATTTATGAAGTCTTTGCTGTCATCTACTTCAGTTTTATGAAATATTGGTTGTCATTTACTTCAGTTTTATGAAATCTCTGCTGTCATTTACTTGAATTTCATGATTTGTTTAAAACGCTATGATTTTCTTCAAATTTATGAGGTCTTTGCTGTCATTTACTTCAGTTTTATGAAATATTGGTTGTCATTTACTTCAGTTTTGTGAAATCTCTGCTGTCATTTACTTGAATTTCATGATTTGTTTAAAACGCTATGATTTTCTTCAAATTTATGAGGTCTTTGCTGTCATTTACTTCAGTTTTATGAAATACTGGTTGTCATTTACTTCAGTTTTATGAAATCTCTGCTGTCATTTACTTGAATTTCATGATTTGTTTAAAACGCTATGATTTTCTTCAAATTTATGAGGTCTTTGCTGTCATTTACTTCAGTTTTATGAAATATTGGTTGTCATTTACTTCAGTTTTATGAAATCTCTGCTGTCATTTACTTGAATTTCATGATTTGTTTAAAACGCTATGGTTTTCTTCAAATTTATGAGGTCTTTGCTGTAATTTACTTCAGTTTTATGAAATATTGGTTGTCATTTACTTCAGTTTTATGTAATGTTTGCTGTCATTTACTTGAATTTCATGATTTGTTTAAAACGCTATGATTTTCTTCAAATTTATGAGGTCTTTGCTGTCATTTATTTCAATTTTATGAAATACTGGTTGTCATTTACTTCAGTTTTATGAAATCTCTGCTGTCATTTACTTGAATTTCATGATTTGTTTAAAACGCTATGATTTTCTTCAAATTTATGAGGTCTTTGCTGTCATTTACTTCAGTTTTATGAAATATTGGTTGTCATTTACTTTAGTTTTATGAAATCTCTGCTGTCATTTACTTGAATGTCATGATTTATTTAAAACGCTATGATTTTCTTCAAATTTATGAGGTCTTTGCTGTCATTTACTTCAATTTTATGAAATATTGGTTGTCATTTACTTCAGTTTTATGAAATCTCTGCTGTCATTTACTTGAATTTCATGATTTGTTTAAAACGCTATGGTTTTTCTTCAAATTTTATGAGGTCTTTGCTGTAATTTACTTCAGTTTTATGAAATATTGGTTGTCATTTACTTCAGTTTTATGTAATGTTTGCTGTCATTTACTTGAATTTCATGATTTGTTTAAAACGCTATGATTTTCTTCAAATTTATGAGGTCTTTTGCTGTCATTTATTTCAATTTTATGAAATATGGTTGTCATTTACTTCAGTTTTATGAAATCTCTGCTGTCATTTACTTGAATTTCATGATTTGTTTAAAACGCTATGATTTTCTTCAAATTTATGAGGTCTTTGCTGTCATTTACTTCAGTTTTATGAAATATTGGTTGTCATTTACTTCAGTTTTATGTAATGTTTGCTGTCATTTACTTGAATTTCATGAAATCTTTGCTGTCATCTACTTCAGTTTTATGAAATATTGGTTGTCATTTACTTCAGTTTTATGAAATCTCTGCTGTCATTTACTTGAATTTCATGATTTGTTTAAAACGCTATGATTTTCTTCAAATTTATGAGGTCTTTGCTGTCATTTAATTAAATTTTATGAAATACTGGTAGTCATTTACTTCAATTTTATGAAATGTTTGCTGTCATTTGCTTCAATTTATGAAATCTTTGCTGTCATTTACTTCAATTTAATGAAATGTTTGCTGTCATTTGCTTCAATTTATGAAATCTTTGCTGTCATTTACTTCAATTTAATGAAATGTTTGTTGTCATTTACTTCAATTTAATGAAATGTTTGCTGTCATTTTCTTCAAAATAGTGAGGCCTTTTGTGTCATTAACTTCATTTTTAGGATGTTTGTTGTCATTTACTTCAATTTCATGATGTGTATAATATGCTATCTTTTCAATTTCATGAAATGATGCCTGTCATTAACTTTAACTTTATGAGGTCTTTGCTGTCATTTACTTTAATTTTATGAATTCTTTATTGTCATTTATTTCAATTTTTATGAAATATTTGCTGTGTTATTATGACTGTCATTTTCTTTAGATTAAGGATCTTTTGCTGTCATTTACTTCAATTTTATTATCTTTTTACTGTCATTTACATCAATTATATTAAGCCTTTACTGTCATCTTGACATATTTAAAAGGTTAATGTATTATAATAATAACAACTAACATTTTCTTCTGTTTCAGGAGGTCAGTTTGGAACTTCACAAATTTGATGAGCTAGACTGCTTAATAAAAGGAATACATTATATAGACAGAAACAATGGTAATTGTGAATGCTACTATTGGAAGAATCCTGGTGATTCTAAACTCGCCCAAAAAGAAGCATTCGATTTTCGAGACCCCTATCCTTACCTAGTTGTGAACATAGGTTCTGGTGTGAGTATCTTGACGGTGCGTGGACCAAGTGATTATAAACGTGTTAGTGGAACAAGGTAATTTAATTAAGGACGTTATTATTTATCATATTCTATTTTTAACTCATAACCTTTTGAAAATTCTTAAATGGACTTGTCCAGCTGCTATTTATGAAACTGTTTATAATCAATTATGGGGTTATCAAGATGAAAACTTGTAATTAATTCAGTCAGCCAAAAGTACAAAGGTAGTATTTTTTCTCACTTAAATTGCCTTAGCCTCTTGATTTTGGGCAAACCTATTGCTAAAATTGCTAATTTTGAAGTGAAAAAGCCTGTGTAAGTTCAGATTTTTGGGCAAAAATGCATGATTTTAAAGAAAAAAGCTGTTATGTAAGATGAAAAATCACTGCTGGTCTGGCACTTTAAAGGTGGCTTCGGTTCCAGTTTAGTTTGGTTTTTTTGCACACACAGATAGATTGCATTACACAGATAGATTGCATTACACAGATAGATTGCATTTTAAATCAATTATATTTATACACAGAAAGGGAAGATATATTAAATTATGTCTCTAGTGGGTTGTCCATCCATCGGTCGGTCTGTCTGCGCTAACTAAGGACTACTGAAGTAATTCAGTAAACTTACGGAATGTCAGTGGTTCTACTCAGGTTCCAATTTGTGCCTGAAATAATGCAAGGAGCGGCATCTGAGGTATTCATCCACCAGTTAAGCTGAAAAATGGCCTTATGACCATTTAAGTGTTGGTGTGACTTAAAACCAAAGCAAAAATCAGACTCTTATAATGTAATTGACACAAGCATAATTGTGTATATTATTATGAAGTGTTAGTATTCTGTGGACAAGATACTAACTTTCATTGCTCAGATTTTCTTTCTTTATAAAAGGGGAAGAGAAAACTTTTTAAACTGTTTTCCTTATGTTTGTGCCTGAAATAATGCATGGCAAGGTATCTGAGGTCTTCCTCCAACAGTAAAGCTGTAAAGTCACCATATTGCTTATACTGTGTTGTTGCAATGTAAAACTCAAACCAAAAAAAATAAATAGATTGTCATGTATAGATGGCAAGTTTTGATAGAAACATTTGTATTGAACTTTGTTTTTTGTGTTTTTTTTTGTTTTTTTAAAGAATGAGACTGTATAAATTGATAAATTGTAACAGCTGTTTTTATTGGAATCAATTCATTTAACATGTATATGTGTAAATTTAATATTGTCTTTTACTGAACAATGACATTGCTGACATAGCAATATAATCTTAAAGATTTTTATTGACCAATGAAATCAAGGAGTGTATACAGTAAAAGCCATATTGTTTGTCCAAATGATTAATGAGCCGCGTCACGACAAAACCAACATAGTGGGTTAGCGACCAGCATGGATCCAAACCAGCCTGCGCATCTGCGCAGTCTGATCAGGATCCATGCTGTTCGCTATCAGTTTCTCTACTAGTTATACGATTTGTAAGCGAACAGCATTAATCCTGATCAGACTGTGCGGATGCGCAGGCTTGTCTGGATTCATGCTGGTCGTAAAACCCATTATGTTGGTTTTGTCGTGACGCGACTCATTTGATCCACAGTTGATGTTTAGCAAAGAAGAAATTCATACTTCCTGTTTCAAAAGATTGCCTTTGTCTCTAATTTTACATTAGCTATTGTAAGAAAATACGCAAAATGTGCTCTGTATTAAATATATGTTATAACCTGTATTTAATGTTTTCAGTTTAGGTGGTGGTACATTCCTGGGTTTATGCTGTCTGTTGACAGGCTGTGAAACATTTGAAGAGGCCATTAATTTAGCCGCAAAAGGTAAAAAGATGTTACATTGTAATCTGAATTTGACGTAATTTACGAGATAAGATAATTAAATCTGACATTCATCATGATTATTCTTAATGAAGAGGTGATATTCACTGACTCCCCGCTAAACTGCAGTTTATGGTTGAAATGGCAGGTAAAGGTGCTTTAAGTTGACAAGCCTAAAAGCAGAATTAAAGTACATTTTGTATGCAAACACTGAATTGTTTTTCAGCCTAGTATTACAGGTATGTTTATAAATCTTTATAAGGTTAACTTAACTGTTTGTACCACTTGTCTACCACTGGCAAAATTTAGTATTTTATAAGACCTATGAAATTTTTGTTGTCCTTTAATTAATAGTAAAATTGCCTTAGAAAAGATTGTTTACATTGTGAGTGGTCTTTGATGTGCAATATTAACTTTAATAATGGAGAAATAAGTTGATGTAGAACAGTTGTTTCTTCTGTCATAAAATTGAAATTTAGTATTCACTTCTATAGTTCTATACTTCACATTAAACTTGTAGGTTAGAATTTAGTTGAAACATTGCAGTTTGGGTAAGGGTTGGGGGTTGGTTGTGGCTTAGTGGTTAATATAGCTGACGAGTTCAAAAACTGCCCAAGACTTTGGATTCTTTCATGTCAGGCTAAAAAGTTAGCTTGAAGAAGGTTTGCACAAGATATTCCTCCACCAGGATAGCTAGGAAGTCACATTAACATTAATTTGAATTCAGTACTTTGTCTGTGCTTCCAGCTGTATCTTACAGTAATTCAGAAACTTTAGTTTATACAGAATATATTTTATTCTGATTATGTTTGAAGCTATAAGGTTATAAACACACACTAGAATCCGTTCCCGGAACCAACCAGCACTGACCAATAAGTCTTAAGTTTCTTGCTGAATGAAAGAACAGCTTGCTCTTGGCGGGGTTCGAACCCACAAAGCTAGCAATACTTAGTTTACAAGTCTGACCTCATTTTGTTGTTTTAGTTCACTTGAGCACAATGTGCTTTGAACAGAGATGATCTTTTATGATAGCATGATATCTGATTGATGTTATTCACAACTTCTTCACACAACACCTCCTCCTCATCTTAGTAACATGGTACATATGGATCAAACTTGACAGAATTGACACTTTGGTGACCGTCTACAAAAATGATATAAATAGTTCCAGTCTATCACAGAAGCTCAAAATAGACTTAAACTAGAAATGTGTCCATAGGACACGGGTGCCCCCACCGCGCCACTGTTCTGTCAATCTTTTTACTAAGTCAAGGGAAATAACTCTACAAATACTGGATAAATCCACAAGCGAAACCCCAGGTGCAAATCTAAAATATGGTGAGCAACCTGCCCATAAGGTTTAATGACTATGTCAAATCCTTTTTGAGAAACTTGCGACACAAGTTGAAAATTGCAAAAATTTTCTAAGTGAAGGGCAATAACTCTAAAAATACTAAATAAATCCAGACGAAAATACCTGGTGCACAACTGCACATGCTGATCAATATTCCTGTAAAGTTGCATGACTCTAGGTCAAATACTTTTTGAGTTATGTGCGACACAAGTTGAAAATTGCAAAATTTTACTAAGTCAAGGGCAATAACTCTGAAAATACTAAAAATATCCAGACGAAAATACCCAGGTGCACAACTACACATGCTGATCAACATTCCTGTAAAGTTTCATGACTCTAGGTCAAATACTTTTTGAGTTATGTGCGACGCAAGTTGAAAATTTCAAAATTTTACTAAGTCAAGGGCAATAACTCAGAAAATACTAAGAATATCCAGACGAAAATACCCAGGTGCACCACTACACATGCTGATCAACATTCCTGTAAAGTTTCATGACTCAAGGTCAAATACATTTTGAGTTACATGCGACACAAGTTGAAAATTGCAAAATTTTACTAAGTCAAGGGCAATGACTCTGAAAATACTAAAAATATCCAGACGAAAATACCTAGGTGCACAACTACACATGCTGATCAACATTCCTGTAAAGTTTCATGACTCTAGGTCAAATACTTTTTGAGTTACATGTGACACAAGTTGAAAATTGCAAAATTTTACTAAGTCAAGGGCAATAACTCTGAAAATACTAAAAATATCCAGACGAAAATACACAGGTGCACAACTACACATGCTGATCAACATTCCTGTAAAGTTTCATGACTCTAGGTCAAATACTTTTTGAGTTACATGCGACACAAGTTGAAAATTGCAAAATTTTACAAAGTCAAGGGCAATAACTCTGAAAATACTAAAAATATCCAGACGAAAATACCCAGGTGCACAACTACACATGCTGATCAACATTCCTGTAAACTTTCATGACTCTAGGTCAAATACATTATGAGTTACGTGCGACACAAAAGTGAACGGAAGGACGGACGGACAGACGGACAAGGGTAAATCTAAATGCCCGCCACTAACGTGGGGGCACAATAAAACAATGTAATTTGAAAATACTATGTTTAAAGCTGCAAGCCTCCAGATGAGCCAAAATATTTCAAGAAAATCAATATTTAGAAAAATGTACTAAAATTTCAAGAACGGTAAAAATATTGAAGATCCAAGTTATAGTTAACTATTTACATGTTATGTGCGGTTTAAGACTGATTTTGCAGTATTTTATCAACTTATTGTGCCCCCACGTTAGTGGCGGGCATTTAGATTTATCCTTGTCCGTCCGTCCGTCTGTCCGTCCTTCCGTCCGTCCGTCCGTTCACTTTTGTGTCGCACGTAACTCAAAAAGTATTTGACCTAGAGTCATGAAACTTTACAGGAATGTTGATCAGCATGTGTAGTTGTGCACCTGGGTATTTTCGTCTGGATATTTTTAGTATTTTCAGAGTTATTGCCCTTGACTTAGTAAAATTTTGCAATTTTCAACTTGTGTCGCATGTAACTCAAAAAGTATTTGACCTAGAGTCATGAAACTTTATAGGAATGTTGATCAGCATGTGTAGTTGTGCACCTGGGTATTTTCGTCTGGATTTACTTAGTATTTTTAGAGTTATTGCCCTTCACTTAGAAATTTTTTGCAATTTTCAACTTGTGTAGCAAGTTTCTCAAAAAGGATTTGACATATTAATTAAACCTTATGGGCAGGTTGCTCAGCATATTTTAGATTTGCACCTGGGGTTTCGCTTGTGGATTTATCCAGTATTTGTAGAGTTATTTCCCTTGACTTAGTAAAAAGATTGACAGAACAGTGGCGCGGTGGGGGCACCCGTGTCCTATGGACACATTTCTAGTTTCTACTGCGTTACTAACTCAGTAAGGGCTCTTTTTGCATATGTGGACCACGTTTTGGTAATTTTCTTGGATTGTAAGTGCCGATTGCAATATGTAAATTACTTTTTCTGTTCACCTTGCAATATTTTACTTTTAAATACATTTCCAAAATTTTCATGAAAATAAACATGAATCTGGAGGTGTGCTGCTTTTAAGCTTAGGCTAAGATTGGTATAAAGCATACATGTTTAGTCCCTGCTTCAAACCTACATTGGTGAAAGACTGGTATTTTGTGATTGTCACTACTCCAACTGCCAAGGTCCTCTTGATAAGTATTAGTGTATAAATGTATATCATATTATAGGTGATGCTACAAAAGTGGACAAATTGGTGAAGGATATATATGGGGGTGATTACAACTCCAGTAAATTCAAGCTGCCAGGTGATATTGTTGCTAGCAGGTAATAACCCTTGTATCTTACCTCCTTAATGTTGATTAAATTTCACAGTAGAATGCAACAGTTTGAAAGAAAAACAATATGCTTTTTGTACATTGTAGTTATGTGACAGATTCATTGAGAAGTCACTCAAACCAAATTGTTTGTTTGTGTTTATGACTTAAGATTTTTTTTTTTTAAATTGAATATAACATCTTCAATAAAACTATCCCACTGATAAAAGTTGAGGTCATCTGACTACAATACAGAATATCTTAAAGATTATCCTTATAGTCAGGACTTGAAGCGTTCATATTCAAATAATTGTTTTGTTCATTGTTTTCTTAAAGTACTAAGATGTACACAATTTAAATAATTTTTGAACTTTGAGAATCTATATAAGGAACTGTTTTATTCCTTTGATCAAATCACACCATTTATCTCCTTTGATATATATGAGGTAAAAGTATTTTTAACTTCATTATCAAGTTTTCTGGGACAGAACACTTGTAAGCTTTCATGGCATTCTGCCCATTTCCAAAATGTATTGTGTAAATATTGTTCATCATAATGTAAATGTATCGAATAAAACCATGTTTTCAATCCAAATTTTCAGTTTTGGTCAGATGAATTTACACGATAAAAGAGAAGCTGCGTCCAAGGAGGACCTTGCTAAATCAACACTATCAACCATAACAAATAATATAGGATCTATTGCTAGAATGTGTGCTGTGACCGAGGTATGAAATGTTTTTTCTTGTAATGGGGCTGCCCCCATTTCATTTTGTTTCCATATCTGATAAATAAATCGCTTTCTCATTGTTGTTATAATTGTGTAATATTTATATTTATTTCATATTTATTTATTTTCCCGGAAGGAAAGCCATTTGGATGACCCACTCTAAAAAATTCTGTTGGTAAATTTAGTTTTTGGGAAAAATTGCAACAATTTTAAGAAAAAGTTTCTCTATTTCAAGAAATATGTTGATAATAGTGCTAAATCAGTAAATAAGCGCACATATAATGTAAATTATTACTTGAATCTTTTTACATTTTTGTTTAAATCTTAGTACATTTTTCTCAAGTTTGATCTTCATGAAATATTTTGGCTCATCTGGAGGCATACACTTTAAACATTGTTTCCACTTACAACCCATATTACAGATCTTCTAACGGTGAAAAATACATGTGTAGTAAATCTAATGGGTATATGTAGTTAAATTTTTTTTTAGAAAATTGAGCGTGTAGTTTTTGTTGGTAATTTCCTGCGGGTTAACACAATCTCAATGAAACTGCTGGCTTTTGCGATGGAATACTGGTCCAATGGTGCAATGAAGGCTCTTTTCCTAGAACATGAGGTATTTACAGACTGTGTTCTAACTTACTTCACACGATACATTTGTAACATTGATTTTCATTGGATGATTAAAGTTTTATATTTATTTATCTATTTAACATTGCTGCTGTAAAATTATGAATTTATTTGTATATTGGAAATCAACGAATGAAATTGTGTAGTTTAATGATTTTTTTTTATAGATTTTAGACAAGTTATATTGCCGTATAATTATGTATGTAGGGCGGTTGTTTGCTATATAGCCCTTGTCTAGCAGATCTGGTTATTTAAGCTCAGACTGTTCATACTGGGCGACATAGTTTGTCAGAAGTCTCTATGACATAAGTACATGTAAATTGTAATTATATACAAATATTTGGAGGTTTTTATGGATAGTTTCATGTCGACTAATGTTGAAGATGCCTTTAGCTTTTATTTTCTTTTGAAACAACGATTCTGTGTTGTGTGTTTCAGACTAAGTAGTTCAGTAATTTTATCTCAGAATATGCATCATATCACTGTTAAGCCTTCTTTGACCTGTCAGTGACAATCGTTTCTAAAAATAGAAGCTCGAGAAACAATCACTGCTTCAGTAATTTAAATATAGAGAACAGAGGTATTGAGGTGTTTGCTTATTGTTTATGTATTTTATTGTGGGCAAATATCATTTTCCACCGTCATTCTTTTGATTTGACTATTATATGAAATGATTTATCTAAAAATAAAACATATTTGACCTTTATAAAAGCTGAAGTCCATTTCAACATCCCTGTTACAACTAATTTTTACATAACCGTAAATTCTTGTTTTTCAGGGATATTTTGGGGCCATGGGATGTTTAATGGAATATATACGTCTCGGACAACAGTTGAATGGAGTCGTAAATGGACATTTAGACAAACATAGATAGAAAATACTTGTTGTGCTCAATTAATCAGCATTGATCAATAATGTGTTCAAGTGACCGGTTCCCTGATTCTACATGTTGTGTGTTCTACGTGTAGCGTGGTGAAGGAATATTCTTGTTCATGAAGAGGCTGCCTCAATATTTGTGCAAAAAAAACAACAACAAAAACCCATATATGTGCAAAAAAACAAACAAGAAAAGCCAGTAGGCATATCATAAAATTTCATTTAAAAATCATGTTTTCAAATGATGCTATCAGTGTTACATTTTTCTCGAGGGAATGAAGTTTGATATTGAATGTGTTATCACAGGATATTGTGGGGGTTGGTGTTTAGATGTGTAAGAATAAAATCACCTGAAAAATTAATTATATGCTTGCTGAACATTGTGTGAAAATTCTGCTACATCATGCTTAATACACTAAAAATTAAAATCTATTTCAGTTTTAAAGCAGCAGTGGGGATATGGCACTCTGAATCTTACTTCTTGTTCACCAGGGAAGATTTCAAACAATTTTAAAATTTGGAGTCATGTTCATTTAGAGGAGGGGTGGGGGGATAGCATTTTGGTTGTTTTATGTATCGGTTCTCATGGCATGTTGTATTTTTATGAACCATTTTTGGAAGTATATACAAGTAGGTACTAGAGTAACAAAATTGTAACAACTAAGAAGTGGGCATTGTATTGGTGCTGCTGGGAATAGGATACTAGATAGCTATGTAAATTATATATATATAGTATATGTTGTATCTCTGTTTTAAATGGAGAGCTTGATAAAGACTTAGTTTGAATGCTGTTTTATGCTGACCTCAGCAGATATTTTACGTAACATAGGCTTTAAGCTTATAGTGATCTCATTATTTGTCTGTGCTACATACTGCTTTATATAATTATCAGTCCATGGAATGTTTATATTAACATAAACTCTAAGCTCAATAGGTTCAATAAACCTAGCCTTTTTTTTGTGTTTTGGGTATTCTTCAGGGATTTCATTTCTTCCCTACCTTATATAAAATCTTCTTTAGGGATTCAATTTTTCCCTACCTTCTTATATAAAATCTTAATGGAACTTTTTTCATTTTTTGAGTGCCAATGGTGGCAATGGTAGCTTGATGTTATAGATAAAAGTCAGATCACATCTTAATGCATATTTTTATAACAGTTTTTAACCAGTTTTATAACTAAATCTTGGACCACCTGAAATTTTCAATAGTTATACAGAATAAGACTTTTTCATAAAACCAGTGTTGCTAGGGGGTGTGGATGGTTGCTTGCATTTACGCCTACTGTCCTGAGACAGGGTCAATCAAACCAAGCCTGCATTATTTTCATTTTTGCTATTTTTTGCGTTTATTTCAGAAATTCTGGGTTTTTTCCCCTTCTATTTAAAAGTTTCTTTTTTTTTAAAAATGATTTTGTCCTCATGAGATTGTGTTTAGTTAAGGCCTGTATTTTGGGATTACTTTTAATTAGTTCCATAAGCAGTTATGTATTTTATAGTTTAGTTATGTCATAATTTGTTGATATTAAAATCATTGGTTTTATATAACAAAATAGTTTTTTTACGAGCTTCATAGCCGCTGCTGTACCTTGTCATAATGTGTTTGATTGTTATATTATTTTTATACATGTATATTTATATAGAGATTTCATAGTTTTTATTTGAAATTGTTTACAGTGACTGTAACTCTGATTGGTCAGAATTGAGTGAAATGATAGAATTGACCAATGACAACGTTACAGTATAATTTGAACAGTTTCAAAATATGTTTCCATTCATACATGTATTGTTCAATTCACATTGTTTAATTATCAATTAAGTCTTTTTATAAGCTTACTTATTTTAATACTTATTTAATGCTCAAGGTTAAGCAATCAGTTTTCTGTTGTCTATAATTGATATATGAAGTTTCTGGAGGTCTCTTGATTTAATCTACATCAAACTTTGTCACAAATATGGCATAAGGTCAGTGCTGTAGGTTCGAATCCCATCAGGCACTTTGGAATCTTTCATGTGAGGAAGCTATCCAGCTAGCTTACAGAACATTGGTAGTTCTACTCAGTTGCCAGCTTGTTTTTGAATATTGCAAAAATGGGCATGTTAAGCCTTCCTGCACCAGTTAAGCTGGAAAAGTCACTGAATGGTGTGACTTTAAAATACATCAAAACAAATAAAAAAAGGAAAACTAAGTCACTGGCTTGTATCAAATATTACTCTTATTCTTCTCTTAATTGAGTTATATGCTTGAACTTATCTAAAAAAAAGATATTTAACATATTTAACCACCTTCAATGAAAGATCACCTTGTAAATAAAGGTCACTGTTAATTGCTTCATTGATTAAATAGAATAGAATAACCTTCAAATAAAGACCACTTGTCTGTAAAAGTCATGTTAAGTCTCTCTTTTGGATGTCTTATGCTCAAAGATTTGATTACCCTGTAAATAAAGGCCACTCCTAGATTATTCCTTCATTGATTAAATAGAACAGAGTAACCTCCAAATAAAGACAACTTATCTATAAAGGCCATTTTGGTTATTCTTTTGGATTGCCTTTGTTCACATATTTGACTGTAATTGCAGTGTTCATACAGCCAGCATGCTGTAAAAGATGAATTTTGTAAAAGTAGTCTAATCAAAATGCTTCTTTGTGCATATTGTATATATTATTTCATTTTTAATTTATTATTTTTGAGGTTTTGTTAGCTCACCTGTCACAAAGTGACAGGGTGAGCTTTTGTGATCGCTTTTCGTCCGTCCGTCGTCCGTCCGTCCGTAAACTTTTGCTTTAAATGACATCTCCTCATAAACCACTGAGCCAATTTCAACCAAACTTCACAGGAATGTTCCTTTGGTGGTCACCTTTAAAAATTGTTCAAAGAATTTAATTCCATGCAGAACTCTGGTTGCCATGGCAACCGAAAGAAAAATCTTTAAATATCTTCTTTTAAACAACCCTAAGAGCTAGAGCTTAGATATTTGGCATGAAACATCTTCTAATGAGTGTCTACCAAGTTTGTTCAAATAAAAGCCCTGGGGTCAAAATTGGCCCCGCCCCAGGGGGTCATTGATTTTCCCTATATGCATATAGTAAAAACTTAAAAAATCTTCTTTTAAAGAACCCAAAAGGCTAGAGCTAAGATATTTGGCATGAAACATCTTCTAGTGAGTGTCTACCAAGTTTGTTCAAATAAAAGCCCTGGGGTCAAAATTGGCCCGCCCCAGGGGGTCATTGATTTTCCCTATATGCATATAGTAAAAACTTAAAAAATCTTTTTTTAAAGAACCCAAAGAGCTAGAGCTAAGATATTTAGCATGAAACATGTTCTAATGGGTGTCTACCAAATTTGTTCAGATAAAAGCCCTTGGGTCAAAATTGGCCCCGCCCCGGGGGTCATTGATTTTCCTTATATGTGTATGGCAAAAACTTAAAAATCTTCTTTGAAAAAACCCATATAGCTAGAGTTTAAATATTAAGCATGAAACATCTTCTAATCAGTGTCTACAAAGTTTGTTCAAATAAAAGCCCTAGGGTCAAAATTGGTCCTGCCCCGGGGGTCATTGATTTTCCTTTTTTGTGTATAGCAAAAACTTAAAAATCTTCTTTGAAAAAACCCAAATACTGTAGCTAGAGTTTAGATATTAAGCATGAAACATCTTTTAGTAAATATCTACATAGTTTGTTCAAATAAAAGCCCGGGGGTCAAAACTAGCCTTGCCCCAGGGGTGTCATTGTTTTTAACTATGTGTATAGTAAAAACTTAAAAAATCTTCTTTTAAAAAACCCAATGAGCTAGAACTTAGATGTTTAGCATGAAACATCTTCTTATGGGTGTCTACCAAGTCTGTTCAAATAAACAAAAAAAAGCCCTTGGGTAAAAATTGGCCCGGGGGGGGGGGGCTATATACAGGTGAGCGACCTCAGGGCCATCATGGCCCTCTTGTTTATATTTGTTTTTGATATTATACATGTTTTTTTATTTTACAATTAACATATTTAAGCAGAAAAGCTATGAATCATAGAAAAAAACATTCGGTGCAATGTCAGTATATCATTTTATATATTTAAATCAGAAGCATACATAAAATCAGTGTTAATGAATAATAGTGGTGGTACTAGGGTAAATCATAAGTTGCACATTTGAATAAAATTGCATGTCATTGCAAATGTCATAATGTAAAAAAATGAGGTTTTCCTCTGCCTCATAGTAGTTAAACATGTTTTCTGTATGTCAAAAAATACTAAAGGGACCAAACTCTGTATTTAAAACATTAATACCAAACTGTCAAAGTTACCTCCCTTGAAGGATATTTTTTTGTCCAAGTACAATATAATCAATCAAAACAAATTACATGTAATCAGGCCTGTTTATTCACCTTATTTCATAAACATATCTTATATATTTTACTGTAATAGTTGTGTTTTATTTTTAGCAAATATAACCAGATTTGTTTGGGTTTTTTTCCTCAATAAATATAACCAGGGACATAATAACCAGATTTTAGAGAGAAATTCTTTATATAGAACAGTTTTTCTATGGTGAACCTGTGATAGGATTTTCGCAATTGTTTTCATGTATAAGAAAATCTAATGAGTACTGTATGTGGATATGTACATGATGGTAATTTGACAAATCTCTTTTAAACTTATGGTACTGCAAATGGGAAACAATTTGATTGTTTAGTAAATGGGAAATGTATACTTGTGGGCAACAAGATAGAACTGTAATATGGTCAGGTATATTTTAAGGTAATTGAATAGAATTGTAAATTGCATGGGTATACACTCATACAAAATTAAAAAGTTTTGCTTTGAATTTTTAAAAAAATTGGGGTTAAAAGCAAAAAAACATTTTTTCCTAATTTCGGTGCCATTTTGGTTTTTTAATGTGTTGGGGAGCTTAAAAAAAAACAAAAAAGGGAAAAATTTAGTTTTTTTCATTTTTTTGCGTTATATAATTTTGTTATTTTGGAAAGCCCTTTAAATTGGGACCTTTATTTTTTTTGTGGGGTTTTAAGGCCTTTGGGGTAAAGGGTTTTCGTTTAAGGCTAAAAAAAAATATTTTTTTGGGAAGGCTGTTTTTTTAATTTTTGGGCTCGCCCTTTTCGAAAAGAAAAAAATAAAAGTTTGCAGTCCCCCCCCAGCCGCCCGGGGGCCGGGCAAACCCCACTTATTTTAAAGTTTTTTTTAATGTTAAAAAATTTTTAAAAAAGTCCTTTGGGAATATGGCTTTGAAATTTCCCACATTTTTTAAACCCTTTCATGCCCCAAAACCTGTGGAAGGAGGGGTAACTTTTATCAACTTTTTTGACAGAATTTCCCCCTTTTTAAATTTGGGAATTTACTTTAAAAAGTTTTTGTAATAGTTCAAATTTTCAAGTCCTTTGAAAATAGGGTTTTGAAATTTTGGCACACCTTGTTCCCCAAATCTAACCCCAACCCTGTGACGGGGAGGAACTCTTTTTAAAGGGGCTTTTTTGACAGAATTATCCCTTTTTTTTGATTAGAATTTTACTTTAAAATTTTTTTTAATGTTAAAATATTTAAAAGGGTCCATAAAATAGGCTTTGAAATTTTGGGCACCTTGTTAACACATGCCCCCAACCCTTAGACAGCGGGAAAACTCTTTTAACATTTTGACAAATTATTCCCCTTTTTGACTTAGAATTTAGGGTTTTTTTGAAAAAGTAAAATTTATTTTAAAAATCCTTTAAATTTTATGGTTTTTGAAATTTTGGAAACTTTTTAAACCCAAAATAAACCCCAAACCTGAAAAAGGGAGGTAATCAAATAAAGAAATTTTTAAACCAAAAAAAGCCCCTTTTCACTTAAAAATTTTACTTTAAAAGTTTTTGAAATTATTCAAATATTTAAAAGTATTAAACAAGGGCTTTAAAAACTTTGCACACTTTTTTCCCAAATTCAGACCCCCCGGGTAAAAGGAGGGGGTTTAACTGTATCAGGTTTTTTTTTTTTAAAAATTCAAGCACTAAAAATGTCGAGCTTTGGCCCTCCGACGCTTTTTGTTTTTAAAAGTGTCTTAAAGGAAACCAAGTGGAACCAAATTTTTTTTTTTAAATTGAAAACTTTTTTTTTTAAAAGCATTAAATTTTTTTTTAAAAGAAAAAAACATAAATTTTTATTAAAATTTTAAAAATTTTTTTTAAAAATTCTTTTTATAGTTTAAAAAAGTTTTTTATCTTCGTTTACTAAAAATTTATTTTTTAAAGATTTTTTTGGGACCCCCTTTATTACGGGGCCTCAAATTTTGGCATATTTTAAACATAAAATGTTTTTAAATTTGGGGTTACAAAATTACTTAAAGGTAAAAAATTTAAATTTATTGTTAACATTGAAAACCCCTTCCACCCTAAAAAGTTTTTTCATTTTTTTTGGAAGTTACCCAAAAAATTTTAGATGGGAAAAGGGTTATTTTGGAACCAAAAAATTTCTTCTAATGATTTAACTTGGTTTGAGGTTAAAAGACTTTTTTCTGGTTAAAATCGGGGGTTTTTAAATTGGTCAGAACGCAAAAAAAGTCCCCGTCCCAATGAAAATTGAGGGGATTGAAAAATGGGGGTTGAAAAAATTTGGATGGGCCTGAGGCTTTTTTACTTGTGATGCTTATTTTATTGTCTAAAAATTATGTTCTTTTTTTTAAAACATGGTATTTGTTAATCATTAAGGGAAATTAAACACCCCTATAGCATGCTTCAGGCCCAATTGATTTTTCTCAAAAAGTAATGATGTAAACAGGGGGGGAAACCCCCTGTCCCATAAATTTAAAATTTTTAAAAAAATATGTAAACTAAAAAATGTTCTTTTCAAAAAAAAAGGATAGAAATTAAAAATTTATAAACCAAATGTTGATTCTCCCCCAATTAAATTTCCCAAAAACCTACTAAATTTCTAAAAGGGGAATTGTCCGTTTTGTTTTTGGGGAACTTTCCCTAATTGTTTGAAGGATTTGAAAATCAAAATAAAAAAATTTGGTTACC